TTCTGTCCAGTTTCTGACCAGTTTCTGTGCAACGTCGTGTGAAATCGTCAGGCGCAAATTCTCTTTTTGTTTGGGATTTGTGTGGATTAACCAACAGATTTCCCCCGTGTGATAACATCCTCAGATGCATTTGTTAAGGAGTTCCTCAGAAAGGTCTCCATTTTGTCCACACAGCATTTTGTCAGGTGGGTCACTGAGATTGCATATGAACTTTCCAAGAAGCCACTCCACTCCTAAAAAATTGCAGTCATCCTACCAAGGCCACCTCCACACCGACTGAATTTTTCTCTGTCTGTCTGTCTGTCGGTGTATGTGGTGCCTCTGCTAGATCCCTGCAGGACTACAACTTGGGCTCAGGCTTCTACAATTTTAAAACATTTGTACTACATTATTATTGCCTGCACACCAAAACTCAGCTGAAACCAGGGCTTGACAGATTTGTGTTAGCCTACAGATGACCGCTTGAAGAACCACCACTGAAGGTAAACCCGCTCTATCCCCCATTCTAGAGTAACTGTGTACAGCGATAAAATTCAAAGATAGTAGAATCAGTATGTAGAGAGATCTTGTAGCACCTTTGAGACAAAGGGGCTGAACAGACCGGCACTTTAGGAGCGGAGTGGGAGACACTGGCTGCCCCGACTGTCTCCACATCATCCTCATGCCGTGTGCCCCACTGCACGGTGGGAGGTATCAGGACGCTTCCTTGGTGCAGCGTTCACACACGCTGTGCCAAGAGAGCGCCGAAAAGCCCCTGCCGCAGCAAGGGCATCTTTTTGCCGCTGTAAAAAGGAATGGCATTTGCCAGCTCTTTTTAGAGCTGCAAAGCACTGGATCGGGGCCGCGGCATGCGGTTGCTGTGGCCACGATCTGGCAAGGAAAAGGGAGGTGGGACATTGCTCCTTAGGAGCCATCTGTTCAGCCCTTAACCAAAAGAAAGAATTGGTCAGCATGAGCTTTCCTAGACTTCAGTCTACTTCCTCAGATACTTTTGTGTACAGTGAGGACAACTTCATAGCCCTGCACAGTACAAGGAAAAAACATGTTCATTTTTACATTTGCTGTCTGCAGTTTCCAGCTGGCTGTACATATGGGAGAATTAGAGGATTCCAGTGGAGTACACAATTTTCCTGTAAAGAAATTAAAAAGGTAAAGGTATTCCCTGTTGACAAGGTTGGCATAGGGGGCGATGCTCATCTTCATTACTAAGCCAAAGAGCCAGCGTTGTTAGAGACTACTCTGTGATCATGTGGCCAGCATGATTGCACAGAATGATGTTTACCTTCCCACTGAAGTGGTACCTATTTATCTACTTGCAATTGCATGCTTTTGAACTGCTAGGTTGGCAGAAGCTGGGACTAGTGACAGGAGCTCACCCCATCATGCAGCACCCGGGCCTCGAACTCCCAACTTGCCAATCTTGCAATCAGCAGAGCAAGCATCTTAAAGAAATTAGAGGAGGAAAAATTATATTTGAATGAGCCCTAACTCTTCAAGCATTGCGTAATTGATTCAAAATTGATTGACATCACAGTTCAGTCTTTAGTGAGGACTCTGTATTGAACTGGGATTGGTCATTCTTTTAATTTTAAAAATATTGAGCATCTTCCTAGGTGGAGTCAAAAAGTTTCTACCTAGCTGGTCAGCAGCTTCCTACAGTTTAGAATATAGAATCATAGATATGCCAGCTTTAGTTATAGCAGTGAACACAGAAACTAGAAATCTTACTTTTTGGACTACATCTCCCTGAATCCCCCTAAACTGTACTTGTCAGATGTTTGATAATTTTTGTTGTTGTACACCTTAAAGTTGTTTCTGCCTTATGGTGACCCTAAAGCAAGCTTATCACAGTAGTTTCTTTGCAAGATTTGTTCAGAGGGGTTTTCGCCAGTGACTCTCTCTGAGGCTGAGAAAGTGTGACTTAAGGTCACTCAGTGGATATCCGTGGCTGAGCAGGGATTCAAATCCTGGTCTCCAGAGTCATGGTCTAGTGCTCAATCATGCTGGCTTTGAGATTATAGACAACTCAAAGGCTTTTCACCTCTACTCAACAATTACATTACAGTACGTTGCTAATTTATAGGGAATTACCAGATTTAGGTGCCTGGTAATTTGAAAATGTCTAGCATTGACATTTTTAGCAATGTTTAGCAATGACTTAACATTGAATGAAAGCTGATGGGAGAGATCAGGCAACACAGTAAAACAGAGCAGACAACTGTGGTTTTCCAAGTGGCAGCGGACTAAAGGCCAACACAGCCAGTGATAATGAATGATGGGAGCTGCAATCCAGCAAGCCACAGTTGTCCACCTGTTTCTAAATGTATAAACAGAATGTATACAACTTCAAAGTATGTTTCTTTTGAAATCTGTAATTTCTTTTTTTTATAATCTGTTTTTACTCACATAAACAATTTAAACATAATACAACATATCACTTTACATAACATAGACCATAAAACATAAAGACATAATTAAATGCGTACGTACTAATTAGATCACATCCCCATACAATCACAACATTGAAACAGTGACGTTAATAATTATTAATAAAAAGACTTCCTAATCTCTATCTTCTGAATATTCCTATTTTCCTTCACTTTTTTCTTAATTCATCTTCACCTACTCTCATTACTATTATACAGCAGCCCCTTCGAATTCGTGGGGGATCCGTTCTGGACCCCCCTGCGCAAAAATGGTGGCTCGCAAATATTTGAACCCCATTGAAAATAATGGTGTGCACGCTCGTGGGGCATACATGGGGTCGTGCACCACCATTTTATCCCTCCCTGCTTGTCCCTCCTGTGAAAAGCGAGACCGTGGAGTCGAAGTCCGCGAACAGAGAGGGACAACTGTATACTAAAATTGGAATGAAATTTGTTATTTCAATAACCAAGCAAAAGTGATTTAAGATGTCACACCAGATGTTCTCCCACTTCTGTGTTGCGAAAAATCCAGTGATTGTTGTCCTAATTTTCTGCTGTAAAAAACAAGTGTACAAGCCATCTCTTCACGGAAAAGGGCTGATGCTTAACTGTAGCCTTCTTATGTTGTTGGGTTGCAACTCCCATCTTGCAGAAGTCCAACATCTGGAAGACTGCAAGTTGGCTGCACCATTCAAGGGGAATACAGTATGGGAGGGTAGAGCAGTGGTCGCCAAACTTTGGTCCTCCAAGTGCTTGGGATTTCACGCGCGCGTGCGCAGCTCCTGCCACAGCTGCTGCGCACGCTGCCACCGCCACGCCACTGCACCCACCATTTTGTTTGCCAAAATGGCAGCCACGACTCCTTTGAGCATGTGCAGGAGTACTGCGCATGAGCAAATGAGTCGCGGCCACCATTTTGACAAACAAAATGGCAGCCGTGATGCGTGCGGCGGCGTGGCGGCGGGGGTTGACGGGGGCTGGTCGACGGGGGCCGGCGGGCCAGATGCGGCCCACGGGCTGTAGGTTGCCAACCCCTGCTTTAAATTGTTGTACGCCGTTTTGATTGTTTTTACAAAAAGCAGGATATAAATAAAAGTTTTATTATTATTATTTTATTATATGATCATTGTACATAATGTTGTGGTTTTATTCCCTTGGTACATTGTTGTGATATAAGGCCTGTACAGACTGCCAGAAATAATCCATCTTGAGACCACTTTAACTGTCCTGGTTCAATGCTAGGGAATCATGGGAATTGTAGTTTATTGTGGCACCAGAGCTCTCTGACAAAAAAGTCTCAAAAAAAAGTACAACTCTCATGATTCCCTAGCACTGAATCATGACAGTTAAAGTGGTCTCAAACTGGATTATTTCTGGCAGTCTGTACAGGCCCATAGTTCATTATATTGTCAGTTTTTCCCTGCTATTCATTCTGTGTTTGTTGTGAAGCCCTCCTGTTGTGTGTTCTCTGGTGGTGTGATTTGAGCATTGGACTATGTCTCTAGGGATGAGGGTTTGATTCCCCACTTGGTCATGGGTGACCTTGGTTGTGTCACACTCTCTCAGCCCCAGAAAACCCCACTATAGGCCTGCCACAAGTTGGAAACAATTTGGGCTGCATCTGCATTGCAGAAATAATCCAATCTGAGGCCACTTTAAAGTAACTTGGCTCAATGCTATGGGATTCTGGGATTTGTAGTTCTGTGAGACATTT